TAACTCACAAGTCAACGTCCGGTTGACCTTTCCAAACTAATTCTTCCTTAAAGAGACTAATTGTCCCATTTCATACCAAACTCGATCCAAATTGACTCAAATTCACCAAGTACACATATTGAAACATGAATAAGCATTTAACGGAGAATACAGAACAAAAATACAGGAAATGACGGTTCGGATCGTTACAGTTTATCGATAAACCGATAAGATAAACTAATTTTTTTTTATTTTTTTACCCTTCTTATGTAATACCCTTTCCTTTACCTTAAGTATCTAACCCTATTATTTCCTCTACCATATTTAAGGAATAATCATATTTAAAGCTTAAGGGAATGATGTTCAAATTAATGAAAAATAGAATTAGCCGTGATGATGTATTTTGATTTTTTTTATACCGTTGGAGTATTGGTGGCATACATTTGATCCCTTACTTTAGTTTCGTTCCATGTGCTTGTTGACACAATTTTTATGTTATAAACGGTGCTCGTCTTATTTTAGCTTCTTTTTGTCCATATTAGTTAGGCGTGTTTGTAGCAATATACTTTCCGTGGAATCCCGCAAATTTTCTTATTGGTGTAATCGATAACCGAATCGATAAGCCCCAAAAATTGATAAATCGAAATCGAAAAAACCGAAACCTTATTGAAACGATAACGATAAGTATATGTACAAATCGATAATCAATAAGGGTCAAAATCGAATCAATAAATCGAATGCACACCCCTAGAAACAAGATTAAAAATAAGACTTAGCAATTGAATGAAGAAGATGACAAGCCTGGCTCCGAGCGCAATGTCTCCGAGGATAGAAATGAAAGCAATGTAAAAGAGCAAATAAAGTTGTTTAATTGAGAGCGAAAGTAAAATACTGCATATGTTTTGCCAAGAATTTCCTGACATCCATGGTTGTTAAGCCTACTATTTATATCTATACCTAGGAAAACAAGATCCTAGGATCAAGCTCCATTTAAATAATAATAAATGAGTCATTGATGAATATGTAACGGCAGGCAATGAATGCAAATATTCTTTGTAACAGTTATTGTGACGACCCAGTTCTAGCCCTTATTTCCATGTTCTGAGACCTCTATTAGCTCCATTTAGTGTTTCTCAATTTGCATGCGTAATTCGCGTCTTTTTCTGAAAAGATTTTATATAAAAATTTGAAGAAAATAAGATCTTTAGCTTTAAAATAACTTGAGTTGACTACGGTCAATATTTTTGTGTAAACAATCCCTGATCGGTATTTTGATGATCTCGGTGGGTCGTATTGTACTTTTGGACTTGGGCATATGTCCGGAATTGAATTCGGAAGTCCCTAGCTTGAATTTGACTTGATTTGTCAAAAACTAGTAACTTGAAGGTTTAAATATTTCTTAGATTTGACCATAGGTTGACTTTATGGCTATCGGGTTCAGATTTCGGTTCTGAGACTTGGTATAAGTTCATTTTATTATATTAAAATTTGTCTGCAAAATTTGGTGCAAAACGGAGTTGGTTTTGTTAGGATTCGATGATTGAAGTTCTTGAGTTTCTTTGAAAATTTCATGTATTTTGATATCTGATTCGTAGTTCTAGGTGTTGTATTGGTGTTTTAATCACACGAGCAAGTTCATATGATGTTATTACTTTGTGCATGTTTAGTTTGGATCCTGAGGGGCTCGAGTGAGTTTTAGATTATTTTTAGACTTAAGAGATAGCTGGTTTCAGCTGTATCTGGTGTCTGGTGCTTTGTGCTTCGCGATCACGAAGCTACTCTCGCGATCGCGAAGGGGAAAATGGGTTGGGGGAGGATTCTTTGTACGCGATCGTAAAAGATGCGTCCGCGAACACATAAGCAATGGAGGGATTACCAACACGACCGTACTCACGCAAACACGATGTGTTATGGGGCTCTAGGGAACGTTGGGCTGACACACATAGCGAACGTGGGCTCTGGATCGCGGATGCGAAGGAAAAAAGGGATAAGCCTTCGCGAGCGCGAAGTGTTAACCGCGAACGCGTAGGCCAAATGGCCAGTCTCCTTCGCGAACGCGAAGAACACCTGATGCCCAGTGATTTAAACTTCTAAAAATCGGGGTATTTCTCATTTTTCATTATTTTAAAATTTGAACTCGGACTAGAGGCGATTTCGAAGAGATTTTTCATCCTAACTTCATAGGTTAGTAGATTTTAACTTATTTCTTTACATTTTCATAAACACCCATTGATTTCAACTATTAATCTATGCTTTTTCATGGTAGAAATTTGGGATTTAGGTAGAAATTGGGGATTTTGAAAAATTGAGATTTAGACCTCAAATTGAGGTCGGATTTCGAAACTAATCACATAACCAGACTCGGGAGTGAATGGGTATTTGGATTTTGGTCTAAATCTAGGGTTTTGACCAAGCGGGCCCGAGGTTGACTTTTGTTGACTTTTTTCAAAATCATTAAAGATTGAATCTTTTTCATTCGTTGGTAGTTTCTAAAGCCTATTTTGAATTATTTGAACTATATTTGGTTAGATTTGACTATTTTGGAGGCTAATTCTAGAGGAAAAGCTGCGATTGAGCATTGATTTGGTTGTAGAGTGAGGTAAGTATCGTGGTTAACCTTAATTTGAGGGATTGGGACTTGTTGGTCTATTTGCTACGTGAATTATGTGTGGAACTGACGTATATGTAAGGTGACAAGTACATATGCATTTGTTATTGGGTTAAAGCATGCGGGTGAAAATTATTCCTTGTTTCTAAGTTGTTTATTTGACTTTGTTTCTCCATGCTTAGGTTAGATTATTACTTTTAATTATTCGTCTCATACTATTTGTTATTGTGAAGATGTTGGAAATTTTTGAAAGTTGGGTTTAACATCCTAAGGAGGGAAAAAATTGGGGTTGTGGCACTGTAGAAAAGGTAAAGACAATTCGAGATCTATTATTGACTGCTCAGAGCAGGTAGAAATCTTACTCAGATAACCGAAAGCGAGAATTTGAGTTCTATATGGGAGACTGGGTGTTCTTGAAGGTGTTACCTATGAAAGACGTGATGAGATTTGGCATAAAGGGCAAGCTCAGCCCTCGGTATATCGGACCATATCGAGTTACTCAGAAGATTGGTCGAGTTGCTTATAAGCTTGAGTTGTCCCCGGAATTGGACGCAGTGCATATGATATTCCACGTATCTATGCTTCGGAAGTGCTTGAGCGATCAATTCCATATCACCCCTTTTGAAGATATTAAAGTCACAGAAGATCTATCCTATGAAGAAGTTCCGCTGGCTATTCCAGATTGCCAAATCCGTAGGCTGCAAACTAAAGTTGTGGCTTCGATTAAGGTACTTTGGAGGAATAAAAGCAAGGAAGAAATGATGTGGGAAGCTGAAGAAGAGATGAAATCTAGGTACCCCTAATTGTTCCACACTATGGGAGACAATAGTAAGACCATCACGATGGGAGATGATTCAATATTCGAGGATGAATGTTCCGAAGAGGGAGATGATGTTACACTCCACACCTAACTAAAGCTTGGTAAGTATGGTTTCTAGCGTGGCCAGTCAGTCGGCGACGTGTGTGAAGGCAAAGGGGATTATAAGTTTTAACTTGCGCCAGTTGTCCCATCCGGTGTTGTAACTGGGGCGAGGCGACCTATTTTGCATGTGGACCCGACAGAGATTCCTATAATTGGCACCTGTATATAAGGGCAGTGAGGCTTATTCACTTTCTTATTTGGAGGAGTACCACTCACCATAATTCACCAAAAAGTGCTCTCACATCTTCTTTGAAGTTTCGAATAGCCTAAACTGAATCAAAGGATGGCTCTATTAGGATTTAGCTTGGAGAAACTTGGAATTGCTGGTGCAACTCCTATCATATGGTGGGATTGATCCTGAAGGTTCATTAGAGGTAAATTTAACCACCATAGAAATATAGTTAGATCTTCAACAAGGTATGTAGGGCGACTTTTTTTCTTGGCATGAGTTAGTGTAAGTTTCTCCTACCTTCTAAATGATTCCTACACTATAAGGTTTGGTAGTTCTATGCCCCTCTAAATGATGTTGTTTTGTCCTTTTACATTCTTGCTGGTAACGTTTCTAGTAAAGTCTAAAATGTTTAAATTGGTATCCTGAGGTCAGAATGCTTGACTCATGCTGGGTCTAAGGTTGATGTCCTTTGAAATTGACGTTTTATTGTGCGCGCGCACACACACACACACATATATATTATTTTATTTTACTGATCCGCGCTATAGTCGGCTGGGTATGGCACTTATTGTGTAACCACTGCTCAGTTAGGTATGACGAAAAAGATATGAATCACCATTGAGCCCTCATGTGGCTGGGTACGACCGATCTCTCCATTAGGCAGGGTACGGAACGTTGGGTTATAAGATATTATTGATACCTCATGTGGCCGAGTATGATCAAACCCTTGTGTGGTCGGGTACGATGATGTGTAAAGTGAAATTATCGAGCCCTCCTGTGGTGGGGTACGATCGAGTCCTCATGAGGTCGGGTATGGAGTGATAAAGTGTGCCCCAAAGAGTGGCTGAAGATATGTATAAATGTGTGTAGTATGAACTAATGCATGCCCTAATAAGTGGCTTTGTTTCACAAATATTTGTATATATTTATGATTCATGGTTCATAATCCCTACAGTTTGGTTTATGTCCCGGTGGTTTGTCCTCGGTGTCCAATATGAAATCGTACTCACATCTCATATGCTATGACTCTAATTTACTTGTTTTTCTTAGATTTACATACTCAGTACATTATTGTATTGACGTCCCTTTCTTTTGGGCCTTGTGTTCATGCCCACAGGTACAGATAGACCAGGTGACATCCCTACCGAAGCAGATGTCATAAGTGTTTTGGGTACGGTGGGGCCTTGTTCCAACCAAGTTGTGTAATATATATATATATATATATATATATATATATATATATATATATATATATCTTTTGGTACTCTTTGAGACTTGCAGACTAGTGTTAGTATTTGGCTGCCTGTAATGGTCGGGTATGACGACGTTGTTGACATTGATGATCATGTATATAATGCCAATATTTCTTTTGTTAATCAGTTGCACACATGTTAATTCTAGCGACTATTACTTGGAGGTCTCAGTTGCCCACATTTTTATGAAAGGAAGAGATATAAGATCATACGTCGGTTCGCAGGATGTGACATGAAATTATACACAATTAGCAAAAAGTTCAGCTTTATCTAGTAACAACATCATTAAAAATAAAATAATTCTTCCTTGGTCTAAGTCTGTAATTGGGATGCCAACTTGATCAAGCCTCAATGAAGTTCTGACATGTTCAGGTAGATCAGAAACTTCCACAAATGTGATTTGATCTCTTATTCTTTCTCCCAGATTAGCTAGTTGATCATCAGCTATGTTGACCTCTCAAAAAATATGGCCAAAAGTGAAACTTCCATTGCTTGAGAGCTCCACAATCACTACTAGAAATTCGGTAAAAAGCGACCACAAAAAGCGACCAAAGTTGGCCGCTTATAGGCCTAAAAGCGACCAAAAAGCGACCAAACATGCCTGGTCGCAATATTACTGGTCCCTTTATTTTAGGGATTAGCGACCAACTTTGGTCTCTAAGGTAAAATGACCAAATATTCCGGGTAAAGACTATAGCGACCAACTTTGGTCGCTTTATTATTTTAATAATATAATTTTGGCGACCAAAGTAGGTCTCTACATGTAAAATACGTTATTTATTTATTTATTATTAATCATAAAAAAACGACCAACATTGGTCTCTAATCCAAATATTATATTTTAAAATCTGGAAAATAGAGACCAAGATTGGTCGGTTTTTTATTTTTTTTTTTTAATTTTTTTTTAAAATAAGCCACCATAGTTGGTCGCTAACTTCAAGAAATAAATTTTTTTTAATTATAAGTGACCAACTTTGGTCGCTATATTTCCAGAAATTATTATTTTTTTAAATAGAATACCGACCAAAGTTGGTCACTTTTTGAGAAATCTGGGTTAAATAGCGACCAAGGTTGGTCGCCATTGCCCAGAAAATTATTTTTGTTTAAGGGAAAAGCGACCAATTAGCGACCAAAGTTGGTCGCTTTTCTTGGTATATTTTTGCCAGAAAATGCCTGTTTTGGCGGCTACACCACCTGCCAGCTTACCAAAAATCCTAAACATGCATTTTATGCCAACAACAACAACAACAACAATAAAAAGCAAAAAAGTATAAAGTTCAATAGAACTAACACATTAAGCTAACAAAACTAAGTTAACGCTTATTACAAGCCCATTCGAAAACTGGTTCTATTGTCTAGTTCAAGGTATATAAAGTACTCAAGGAGTGTTCTTTCAGCATCCTCATCCGAAAGTTGGATTGCCTCGCCCGACTCATTAGGTGGCTGACTGCGTATGAATTCCCCCACATCAGCTGTGAAGCGAACCTATAAGAAAAATTATATTGAATTAGTATTTCAAAATTTATATAAAAGTAAATCAAAATACTTAATGAAAAGTAAAAAACTTACATGTATAGTCGAAGCTCGACCCTCGACCCACCTTTCTAGATCAGTCTCTTTATTCTTCTTTATAATACGAGTCTCATTGAATAACTCATCTTACTTCATTGACATCATAAAGTTGTCTGGTGGCTTTGGTGATTATCCTCGTGGTACTATTACTCGGGATGAACTTAGATACAGAGAGTCACTTTGATACAGTACCCGACAGGGTGTGTCTTTGATCAATTGTTGTTCTCATTAGCGACAATGATGATGAGAAGGTAATGGCATGTGTTTCAAACAGTGATGGTGTAGGTAAGAATTTAACATTTCCTAAGCAGATAAAAGAAGAGGTTATAGAGAAATTCTCTACTTCCTCTTGGAAAATGAAGTAGAGAATTCCTCTAAAACCTTTTCTTTTAACAATTTAGGAAATGTTAAATTCCTACCTACACCATCACTGTTCGAAACACATGTCATTGCCTTCTCATCATCATTGTCGCTAATGAGAACAACAATTAAAGGCACACTATGCCAGGTACTGTGTCTAAGTTATTCTTGGTGGAAGTTGTATTGCATGTCTAATAAAGTCATCAACCCCTTCTACAAAATCCTCCCGCAATCCTAAATTTCAATTCATATCCATAAAAGTTCAATTCATATCCTAAAGGCTCAATTCATTTCCTAAAAGTTCAATTCATACACAAAAATTCAATTCATACACAAAAATTTCAATTCATATCCTAAAGGTTCAACTCATATCCACAAAAGTTCAAGTCATATCCTAAAATTTTAATTTATAAACTAAAATTCCAATACATAATCCTAAAGGTGCAACTCTTAGAGTTTCTTCTCTTCAAACAATTTTTTCCCCAAATTAGTAGGTAAAACTTAATTTTTTGGACTAAATGTATTAATAAGAACCCTAAAAAATGCAAATAATATATAACTTTAAACCCTAATATGNGAACCCTAATATAGTTGAGCTAACTTTGAACCCTAACATGGAGAAATTAAACCCTAATATGGATAAATTAACTTTGAACCCTAACATGGTTGAACAAATAATATATAACTTTGAACCCTAACATGGATAAATTAAATAAAATCACTGTATTTCGAAAAAAACAAAGAAAGGAGAAAGAAACCTACCTTGGGAATGGAGGTCGCCGGCGGTGGAGCTGCTACCTGTCACGACCCAAAATCTCAACCCGGTCGTGATGGCGCCTCTCGTGGGGACAAGGCCAGCCAATAACAAAACAATACATCT